AGGCTACATGGGAGACCGAGCAAGAGATGCGGAGTAGCTATCCACACCTATTTAAGACTCCAGGTATGAGTCTAGACCCGTTAGAGGATGAAAGTCTGCTTAAGAGGGGGAGAATATAACCAACCGGCAGGTTGTTTTGTGTATTGTAGCGTTTTCCCCCTAATTATTGCCTCTTCTATGTTTGTTTTTGGTTTTGTGACTTGCCGGGGTGGTTGGTTTGGGTTCGGGGATGTTCTGGAGTAAATTGAAACACTTAGTCCCAAGGTTGGAAGCTTAAGTGGAAGAGTTGATTGGAGTTTGACTTTTGTGTAGACGACTCCGGAATGGAGTTTTGATGGCTTCGATAGCGTTGTATGGTAATTTCAGACTTAGGCGTATGTCCTGATATTGATTTGGAGGTCCATAGGTTGGTTTGAGGCTTTATGGCAAAAGTCGGAAAGTTGGAGGTTTGGAAGGTTGGGAAGTTTGACCGAGAGTTGACTTTGTCGATATCGAGTGTGGATTTCGGTTCCCTGGAGTTGGGATAGATTCGTTATGCCATTTTTGACTTGGGTGCAAAATTTGAGCTCATTCAGAATTGGTTTGATATGATTCGGCAATAGTTTTAGAAGTTGGAAGTTCATTTGTTCATTAGTCTCGAATCGATGAGTGATTCACATTTTGGTGTTGTTTGATGTGATTTGAGACTTCGAGCGAGTTTGTATTGTGTTTAGGGACTTGTTGGTTTGTTGGATGGGGTTCTGGGGACTCGGGTATGATTCGGATGAATGACGGAACATGTTTGCACTTAGGGATATGGCTGAAATTTCTTGTACCTGATGCACCTATGATGGTTTTGCCGCAAGTGCGAGGCCGCAGAAGCGGTAGGTTGAACGCAGATGCCAAGGAAATCTTGAAGCATGGACATCACAGATTCGTGAATGTTTCCGCATAAGCAAAGTCGCTTCTACGATGAGGGAAGTGCAAAAGCGGAGGGACCGCAGGTGCAGAAGATTCTCTGCAGAAGCAGATGCGTAAATGCGGGAGCCTGACCGTAGAAGTGGTAGGTCGGGATTTAAGTGAATTATGCGGATGCACAATTTTTACCGCAGAAGCGGACTTATGGAGCGCAAAAGCGGGATAAATGGGCAGGTTATTAAAATCCAAGGATTTGAGGTTTTTCGCATTTGGAGAGTTTTGAAGCTCGACTAAGGGCGATTTTTGAGAGGGTTTTTGCTAAAATTCACTTTTGTTGATAAATACTCCTATTGATTACCCATTGATTATTACACCTAGATTATGTAAATTTGAAGTAAAATTTGGAGATGTTAGACCATGGTATTGGTGAGTGAGATTTGGAGATTTTAGGGTCGATTTGTGGATAGAATAGGATGAAATTAGTATGGTTGAACTCATAATTGAATAGGTGTTCGAATTTATAAATTTTGTCGGGTTCCGGGCTGCGGGTCCGGAGTTGACTTTTTGGGTTGACTTTGCGTATTTGATTCAAGACTTTAGCTTTATCATTTGGAATTGTTTCCTATAGCTATTATTGATGGTATTAAGTTATTTTTGTTAGCTTTGAGCCATCCGGAGCTCGATACGCACAAGGGCTTGTTAGAGGAGTGATTTGGCTTGCCTGAGGTAAATATCTTTCCTAAAATTGGTTAAGGCACTAGTTGCCTAAATTATTTATGATAGTTACGTGCTATAGACGTGCATATGTGTGGGGTTTGAGCCCATAAGCAAGCACCGGGGTATTTATCCATATTCGGAGTAGTACTTAAACTATGATGTGCCTAGAATTGATTGTTAAGCTTTAAGCTATAATGTTTCTCATATTTGTAACCTTGTTGTGAACTAGTTGAGCCATGCTTGAGGTTACATTAATTTCCTGAGTGAACTTGATAATTGTTATTTCTGAGATGAAATTGCTGATTTGAGCTGTGATAGCACAATTTGCCCATGCCTACACTTTAGCATGTCATTTATACCAGTCAAGGAGCATGCGATCTATTATTCATTTCATTCATCACATACATGTATCCGTGTATATTTGCTCCTCTGTGATATGATTGGAATGGATGCATGTGACCACACCGGGCAGATTGTGTTACTATGCCTGTGACCATGCCGGGGGAATTGTGTTGTAGTGCCCATGACCACGCCGGGCGGATTGTATTGTTGTGCATGTGTCCACGCCGGGTGGATTGTACTATTATGCATGTGATCATGTCAGGCGGATTTATGATCTTGAGCCTGTGACCACGCGGGCTGGTAGCACGTTGAATTGGACGTACTTGCATGTGGATATAAATCCATCCCCCTAGGGTAACCTTCTCATGTTTCTCTTTTGATGGTGAACACGTAGATCCATCCCCCAGGGTCACCCCTAAATATAGCTAGGTATGCATCTGTAACGTGAGAGCATCTGCTGAATCACGAAAACTTCTGCAACACTACAAATTTTGAGGAGTTAAGCGATTAGGCTAAAACATAGGAATTTGTGGATTATTTGTTATTTATACAGAGATCGGTAGATACATCCAAATGAGACAGTGGAGTGAGTTGTCAACTGTGGTTTTGTAAAGACTCGTTGGTGATTAATGAAGTCGTTTAATTACAAAAAATAATAATAATAATAATGCAGAAATTAATAATATCGGGATTGTAATACATAAACTACTTTTTATCCTATGCTTAGTATTAAAAATTGAATATATGATGTATAACTTAAGTGCTTGGTTTAAAATGGTATAATATTTTGTTTACAATTATTACCCTGAAATTCTTAATACTCCTTCCGTCTCAAATTAGATGAGGTACTTTTTTTTTTAGTCTGTTTCAAAATAAATGACACATTTGTAAATTTGGAAATAATTCAACTTTAAACTCTTCATTTTACCCATTTTAACCTTAATGAGAAGCGTTTATAACCATACAAATGTCATGGCCCAACAAAACTTTTACCCCTCAAGCTTTTAAGATCACAAGTATCAAAAGTCTTTTTTTTTCTTTAAATTCCCTGCCGAGTCAAACTAGGAAGGGAGTATAATATTTCTCGTTGACAACAATGTAATTTTCAGTATAAGGCCTTCTCAGTTCATTGGAGTTGGAAAATAGTACGGCAATTCCCATATACTGTTATTGTTACAAAGGATTGACCGAATACAAATTTCTATAACATGAATCCATGATTATCATTCTAGTACCTCAAAAGTTCCTGTATTTCCTATATTGTCCTTCATCTCTAGTTCTCTACCCTAAATATTTTAATAAACAGACAATCCAGCAAAAGAACATACATAAAAGTTTTAATTCTTTTTATTTTTTCGATTTTCTCAAAATATGAACAGAGGAACCAACATTCTTGGCGTTGGGTTGACCATTTTAGACTACACACCAAATATGCAGCAAAGTCATCACTATCATCTCTATACTTCCAAGTTGGCCATTAAATGACTTTTTCTCCATTTTCAAACCACGCTATTTAATGCAGCATCTAAGTCACCCACCGACTTTTCTTCCTTCTCTTAATCTAAAATGAACTTTTTAACTCTACCCTTCCTCTTCTCCCAATGTCCACCGTTTCCTCCTCCATCTACGGCGGCCCACCACCACCTCCTCTTCCTCAAACCACCACCAATACCCTTATCCAAGACCTCAACAAAATCGGCTTGGGCTACGCAATTGCAATTGCCCTAGGCTTCCTCCTCTCCACTTTCCTCCTTTCCTCTTACCTCTGCTGTCGCTCTACCGCCGCCGATCGCCGCCGTCAAGCCCAAGCCCATGCCCGAAATGGGAATACCGAAAATAACGGAATATATCTCCCCCGCGTAATTTTTGTTGCTGATGAAGAAGAAAACGACGACGTTTTATCCCAAAATACTGTTTTAGGCCTTGATCAAGCCGTAATTAACTCGTACCCTAAATTAGTTTACTCCAAACGAAATGGAAGTGGAAATGATGTCGTATGCGCAATTTGTTTGAGCGAGTACAATGATTCGGAGATCTTAAGGATGTTACCAGACTGTAAGCATTATTTTCATGTTATATGTGTACACGCGTGGCTGAAGTTGAACGCGTCGTGCCCAGTTTGCGGAACTCTCCATTACCCACGCCGTTATCTACACCGTTGTCGGAGGTGGTCCCACTTTCTCAGTATTCCGACGGTCGAAGGAGGCATTGATGACTAATGGATGACGCGGTAGAATTATGGAATTCTGGTAGTTTGGAAGTGTGAATAAGTTTGTTTTCCAAGTGTACGGCGCTTGGAATTTACTGCTAAATGCTGATAGTGCCTTTTTTTGTATTAAGTGAGAGGAATTCTTTTTCAAAGCTTTACTTCTTGTATTGACTATTGATTTTTTCGCTAGTTGCGGAATCTACACTAGGTACTAAAGATGATCATCAACTGTGAAAAAACACCTACGCTCTCTCCGGAGGTGGATTTAGGATTTGAAGGTGGTGGATGCCATAATTTTCTTTATTATATACATTATAAAGACTAATAAAAAATTTGTTAGGGACCTTTATTCGAATTTTTTGAGTTTATTCGGGTCAACCTAATAGGCATTTTTTATTTGTAATAAAAAATATATTTTAGATATAAAAAATAAAAGTAATTAGCATTTTAAATAAGGAATCACACCTTTTTTTCGGAACTAAACTTTTTGAATTAATTACGTTTGAAAACTGTACAAAACCATAGCTAACCAAACACAATTAGCTATCTAAAATCTAGCAAATCAGTAACTCTCTACTCTATACAAGTCATTTCGCAACTGAAAATTAGAACTGGAAACTAAAACATAAAACTTTGTAGCAAAATCATGACTCTTGGGGCTGCTCTTACATGACAGATGTAAGCGACTTCACGCGCAATCATTTCCCAGCTCCGATACTTCTTTTCAAAAATTCTATAGTTCCTTTCCATCCATATAGCATATATACACTCAGCATATACCATTCTGAAAATTTGGGCTTGCTGTTGATTTCCCTTTGGCTTTTTGAATAGCCCATTATGAGTGCTGGTTCCATGTCTGCACTTGTATTCCTTTTGTTGGTAGCCGTTGTAGCCATTGCTGCATTTTTCTCCATATAGCTTTAGTAAATTCATATTCAGCAAAAAGATTTTCTCTTGTTTCCGGTTGTTTCTGGCATAGTGTGCATGTAGTGTCCACTGCTAATCCCCAGTTCACTAGTCGATCTGTTGTAGCTAGTCTCCTATGTAGTTGTAGCCACATTGTAAAACCTGCTTTAGGTCTGGCATCATTCTTAAACATAAGACACTTCCAAGGCACTGGCAACATTGTAGGGAGAAGCTGTTGATAGATTGTAACAACGCAAGTAAAAGTAACATTTTTACTAGGAAATTATATCTTTTTCTGTATATTAAAAATAAATTTACACAAGTAAGATAACACCTTCAATATGAGAATTACATCAATCAGGATAAGAAAATTTTAAAAAAATATCTTCAACAGATAAATTATACCTCATACGTGTAAAATTAAATTAACTACAAGTTCCCAAAAATCAATCTCATAAATCTCATATTTTTTATGAAATGCATAAGAAATTTTCATCATAATTTAATAGTAAAGAGATTCAAATTATATTTAATAATCATAGAATAACACAAATTTTTATGATATTAAGAGAATTTTTTTTGATCTCAATCCAAAATTCTCATTAAAGACCCAAATTTTTCGGATTTGAAAGAAGAAAACTCATAAATTTAAGATTAAGTATTTATTTTATATAATTTTAAAATTTAGAGCCTCTTTTTCTAGTATTCTTTCGGGAGACCACATATAAAAATAGCGGAATAGAAAAACGAAAAATATAAAAATAATAAAATGACAAATAAAAAAATGGGGGGTAACCGAAAAGAAAAATCACTGGGACACCATTGTTAGGCAAGCCAACACTAATTAGTTAATAACTTCTTGTTTTAGATATCTCTGAATTTACTTCTTTTATATATTTAAACAATAAGTTTCACTGAATAAATAATAATACCTTTAACTATTTCAAATACTGAATAATCCCATAGACATCCCAGAACCCGGTGTCACAAGTGCATGAGCAATTACTAAGAGAATCGAATAAAGTACAATCACTATCCGGAATACAAATTGGACAGAAGTAAATACAATACGCTGAAAGAGACTATACTGGCTGTGGGTCCCCTCGAGAAATGCAGCTCACCTAGTCTCCGTATCATCCATGCTGCTATACCCAGTAGGCCGCTAGAAATACCTGTACCTGTGCAACAAAATGCACAGCAAGCGTAGCATGAGTACGAACACAACATGTACTCAGTAAGTATCCCGCCTAATCTCGAAGAAGTAGAGACGAGAGGTCGACTTCGATACTTACTAGTGGTACAATAATGATAAATCGATAATGTAACAAATTGAGGATTTATACAAGTACGATTGTAATTCAATAAAGTGAAGCAAGTAAGCAATTCTTTCTTTTATAAGAAAAATCTCAAATCCCTTTTCATCATTTATACATTTATTCTCAAATCGGGATGGAACAATATCACTTCGATAGATTTCAAGGCGAGCAATACAAGCATGCACAAATCATGCCGAGGACATACGGTCCGATTCAACAATATTTAAACTATGCACTGCCAGAGGGTCGAATGGCGTGAACCATAGATGCATCTATTACCCCGCTCGCGAATCGTACGTGCGACGCGGTCAAATACAAATAAACAATCACCCTGCTCGCGAATCACACATGCGACGCAGGTACACATAGAAACACATATTCAAACAGTCAATCGAGACTTCATCTGGGAACAATTGTTCAAGGAGGTGTCCATTTCTCTTTTACAAGTCATGAAAATGAAGTTTAACTCTTTTAGAAAATCATATGCCACTTCGATATGATTTGAGCAAATTAATCCATCAATAAAGTTACAATTATTACAAGCAAGCATGCTTTTGGGTCCTAGACTACCCGGACATAGGCATAATAGTAGCTACGCACGGACTCTCGTCACCTCGTGCGTACGTAGCCCCCACAAATAGTAACACATATGTTCAATTAATTCACCTATGGGGACAATTCCCTCTTACAAGGTTAGAAAGGAGACTCACCTAGCTCCGAAGTTCCATAACCGATATTCCACGCCCTTCCGAAGACTTAAATTGATGTACAACGCTCCAAAATTAGCCAATAATTATGCAAATCCATTAATATAGGTTCATTTACTCATAATAATCCTATTTATAACAACTCCTAACCCCGACCGAAAAGTTGCAAAAATGCCCCTGGGCCCACGTGCCCGAATTCCGAAATTTTTCGAAGATAAAGGTTACCCATAACTTTACGAATTCAAATATATGATCTCTTTCAATTTCATGCCCAAATTCGTGGTTAAAATCCAAATTACACATTCTAGGTCTTTCTTCAAAAAAAATCCCAAATTTCTACTAATTTCCTTGACCAAATCCACATACAAACCTTGTATTTAGCTTGTAATGAGTAGGAACAACTTACCTTGACATGGATGATGAAAATCCCCACTTGAAGCTCTCCAATAATCGAACCCCATGAAAGATTTGAGATAAAAATGAGCCAAAACCCGTTTTAAAACACTTCACTGCCCAGGCGATCCTTCTATGCGATCGCATTCCTCCGACCGCGATCGCATAAGCCAAATCCCAGCGGCCTCCAAAACACACTATGCGATCGCACACTCCTCCCCGCGATCGTATAAGCCAAAAATCCAGCAGCCCCTAAAATGCGCTATGCGATTGCACTTCTCTCCATGCATTCGCATAAGCCAAAACAGCAGCCTCCAAATTTTGCACTATGCGATCGCACTCCTCTCCATGCGACTGCATAGAGTAAAAATCTGTTGCACTAACACCAGAAAACCAGCAATCACCCACAAGGCTAAAAATACCCGTTGAGCATCCGAAACACACCCGAGGCCTCCTGACCTCAACCAAACCTACCAACCAGTCCTAATACCTCATTCAAACTTAGTCGAGCCTTGAAATCACATCAAATAACATCGAAATCACGAATCGCAACTCGATTCAAGCTTAATGAACTTAGAAATTCCAAACTTCTGCATTCGATGCCGAAACCTATCAAATCACGTCCGATTGACCTCAAATTTTGCACACAAGTCACATTCAACATTACGGACCTAGCACAACTTCCGGAATCGGAATCCGACCCCGATATCAAAAAGTCCACTTCCGGTCAAACTTCTCAAAAACCTTTAAATTTCTATCTTTAGCCAAATGACTCCAAAACGACCTACAGACCTCCGAATTCACTTCCGATCGCGCTCCCAATACCAGAATCACCATACGGAGCCATTCCCAGGCTCGGAATCCCAAACGGACATTGATAACACTGAAATGCACTTCAACCCAAACTTATGAAATTCCTCCAAAATGCTAACTTCCATAATAGGTGTCAAAACGTTCCCGGGTCTTCCAAAACCCGATCCGGACATACACCCAAGTCCGAAATCATTGTACGAACCTGCTGGAACCTTTGAATCCCGATTCCGAGGTCGTTTACTCAAAAATCCAATCTTAGTCGATTCTTTCAACTTAAAGCTTCCGAAATGAGAATTCTCTTTCCAAATCAACTCCGAACTTCCCGGAATTCAGTTCCGAACATGCGTACAAGTCATAATACCTGAAATGAAGCTGCTCATGGCCTCAAACTGCTGAACGATGCGCTAGAGCTCAAAACGACCGGTCGGGTCGTTACATTCTCTCCCACTTAAACATACGTTCGTCCTCGAACGTGCTGAGAACTGCACCGGAGTTGTCCGAAATCACTGTTTAACACCTTGAGCACCTACCCGTGCTACCACAGCTCAGTTGAGCACATTAACTCGATCAAATCTAAAGATATTCTCTTTTATTCAAACAAATAAGCTTAGAACACAATCCCAACATCTGGAATTCTCCGCCAGGCCTTCTTCCAACATATGAATAGCGTAGCAATCACTACACGAGGTACCAGAACATGACTGCATACCTTTGCTGAATTCTCACCATGCACCACATCATTCACACGACCATAATAACATTCTCTGATCATAATAACCAGCATTCCCTGAATCTAATGCTCACAACACACCTCATGATATATATAAGTCTTGTTCCAATTCTCGCAACACCGCCACGACAGAAGAGATGTGTAGAAATCCATAACCAACTGCCAAGTCAAAAAAATCATTGAGGCTACACTCCTGACAAGAACATTACCCCATTTGGAACCAAATAATGATCTTTGCTCTTTAATATACTTCATACAATCCGATTGCACTGATCCTAGATCCAATAACCTTGTCTCACCCAGTACAAACTGCTCAGGCAACAAGCCACCCAGACATGACTAAAAGTCTCATATGATGCCACAATGTGCCAATAGGCTACCAACTCGAACGTGATACATAAGAAAGACGAACTCTGGAAGGGACTACTCCACTCACGCAGCTAATATGAACTTTCCTCAGAAAATGGAAACAAAACACATAGAATAGAATATAAGGGACTGTAATCATCATCACACTGTTGCGGCGTGCAACCCGATCCAAACAACATACCTATGGTGGCGTGCCACCCGATCCACACATGAAATTCACATAAGGAGATACACATTGAGCTAAATTGCTCATTACAACACAATACCAAATATCGGCCACAAGCATGCTAAGTGCATATTACCATCCCTGAGGGGACATATAGCGCCATAAGCTAACAAACTCAAGCACAACTGAGGTGCGATAAATGTTTTGAAACTAAAGAGCCATCCTGTTCACATAACACTATCGCCACGCGGAACCTCAACACATAAGAAATTTATCAAGCCGTTTCGCAACTCACACGGCACAATATAGCATTACATGAAATAGCCGACGATGAAATAACATCCAACGCCGGAATACTCCTCCATAAGGAGAGCTATGCTGAAATGAACACATTCGGCCAGATATAGAGCCCATATTCATATTTAAATCCATCCACAGACCTCAAGCCGATTCTGATCGTACCGAACTAGGCCAATAATCTTTTCTGGGTTCATAATAACCCATTTTTCCCATAACACACAAGAATAACCATCATAACCGAAGTAATCCTCCACGGTCCACCACCCAATAAACCGAGTGCCCTCCAGACATAAATTCTCAAATTAACTATATCACCACAATCTTCATACTTGGTTTCATCCCCCAATCAATCAAGTGACTACATGCCACACTTATACAATCTTCCCGTGGGACACGCTCCCACGATCTTCCGTAACAGATAACAAGCCTGCACATCCATGCTACCGGCCGCACTAATGCTGAAAAGCGATCAAAATCCATAACCAGGATGCAAAGCCTCTCTCACAAAACACCGATCCCGGGTGACGCTAAAGACAATGACAGCTTACTCTAATCATTCAAAAAACCCTTTCATGCTCGTCCGAGCTCGTGACATCCCTGTCAACACCAAGTCGCAACCTTGATCCCCACTTTCAAATTTCATACCGCTCATTGCACCTAACAAGCCAGCATGCGATAGTACAAGAATTTCATCACAACTCCTGAACCACTAAAATGGCAAACACTTCCTCACATGGAAACTTTTTACTTAACTCAATCCAAGAGAACCATAGCAACACACGAGTGAATTCTTACAACCGTAGAAGGTGCAATTCTTCAAGTGGTGGCCTAAGCCACCATAGCTCTTTTCGGGATCCGCCTACACATAGCAGGCCATAATACTAGAATACTTCCGAATAAAATCAATTACGGTGGCCGACAAGCCTCACACGTATCGCCACAAATCACCTACATAACTTGATCACGCTGAAGGAATTGATCACTACCACCAGTATGCCAATTCAACCATGGCTAACCAATCCAACCTCTTCCAATTTATCCTTAATTGTCTTAGAATAATAATACTTCATTCAACACATAATGCACTCAACTCGAGTGGCCTTGTAACACGAGACCATGCTGTCTCAAATCCCACGAACCATCTCATACCTTCCTTGTGCGCATGTTCGCATCTCGACTGGTACATCTATTCTGATAATTCCTCTACGAATCCGAAGTCTTTTTCTCCTTTTTTCCTCCCAATGCTACACTGCAAGTCAAAACATCATAGAACATCTTGAGCCTCTTATCATAAGCTGCTTCACAAGCCCAATTCCTAAACACATTGCGTGCTTGAATCCTTAGGCACTGCATTTTTAACCTTTGAATTCACTAGGACCGTTATTGAGAGTCACCCACTCTGACGTGGTCCCGAAAATAATCAACTGCAAGGCTCCGCTAGCCCATGACCACCCTCTCAAAGAAGCACCCGGCCGAAGCACTTTCCTTACAACTCACTTCTACGCGAAGCATAATTCCTGAGTCTTCCCAAAGTTCGAACATGAATCGATGATGCCCATTATACAACACATTCTTCAATCCCTTTGCTCAAATTACTACTGATGTTCTCTTCCCTTAATTGAAACAACTTACCAATACGCCGATAACCCGAACTTCACAAGAAGATAATCATACAACCCAATCGTAGACGGTGGGACTCTCCCACATAGCTTGAAGCCACCATTACACAACTCTGGAATCCAACAAGATTCTTTCTTCATATTAAGCAGCTCCTTTCCATCATATCAAATCTCCCGCTGTTATGCTAGCCAATATCTCAAATTAAGTTCATAGACCCAATCACCGTCCACTAAAATTCTTCAAACCACTCCAAGCTTTTCTCAAGGGTGTAATTATTCCGCCACTGAACCCACGTGCTACTCTGCCACTCTCCCACTTTGGCCTTCTAGAAATTTAACCACCGCATGACACCTTCCACATGTCCTTCATCACCTTTGCTGCTCAGCTGATGCCTTAGATCAAAATCTAACTTAGTGGCACTCGAACCAACATGCCGCTACTAATTTTTAAACCTTTCCGAAGGTCATCTTTCTCGAGCCGTCAGCATTAGAAATACGCCTTCAATTCTGAACCACCGCACCCCGCGATCTCTGACAGCCGCTTCTCCAATACTATTTTGTAATATCCTTCCCCAAGGGTGAATTGTAGAAGGTCTTAACACAAGCGAACTTAGTACATTCAACAAAGACAACGGTACCTCATCACAGATGAAAATTCCACCACGCTCATAAATACCAAGCCATGTTACTCCCTCAACCCAAATCTGAACATTCTTAGCCCGATTGCCTTTCCCCCGCCGGGAATAAAATACCGAATATCTAAATCATGCACTGATTAAACCTCCCTTCAAGTCATTCACTACCCCAACACGTAGGCAAGCATCCTACCGTCACATCAATACTACGCGACAATCGTTCATAAGCATCATGGCAACTTGTGCCTAGCCTCAGAGCTCTCAGAAGTACGACTACTGAGCTAAAACGGCAGAATATCCTTCCACAAAGCGACGACAATAGTCAAATCAACCCCGTCGGGAGAAGCATCTCGTACCACCTCTGTAGTACCTGTAAAATTTCTCAATTCTTTATTTATAATAAGCGCTCCACGTCGCATAAGATTGAGTAGGAAGGAAATAAAGGCATAAACCTCAAAGGAATCAAACCGCACGATAAGGAATCAAGAAGGGAAGTACTCCTAACAGCCCTGTAGCCTCCCGAAGATAAGTACAGATGTCTCTGTACCGATCGACGAGACTCTACTAGACTAGCTCATGACTCGTGAGACCTAAGAGAACCTAGTACTCTGATACCATGTTGTCACGACCCAAAAATCCACTAAGGGTCGTGATGGTGCCGGACACCATTGTTAGGCAAGCCAACACTAATTAGTTAATAACTTCTTGTTTTAGATATCTCTGAATTTACATCTTTTATATATTTAA